GCCCACCATACTCCAGAACCAGTCTTATGCTGTCTCCTAGACACCAGCACCAACTGCCCAGTGCCTTCTGCTGAGTCTAGGAGCAAGGGTACCCCTTTCAGGTCTCCTGCGGAAAGAGCATTACTTTGATCTTGCCCCTTCCTTGGAGGTCTTGATTCTAGCTCTACTAGGTTCAGGCTCTGGAGGTACTGGTAGAAGTGAACTTCACCCATTCCTGAGGACTTGTGCCAGCCTTTCAGGGTACCTCCTAATTCCTAAAGAATAAGCACTATCTGGGTGCTAACCCCTAAATGCTTAAGGTTTGAGTCTAGTTCTGGGGGCCCCCTCTGATAACCTGAGGTAACGGCAATAGCTAGACAGCATCCTCACCTCAGCGGCCTGGGTCTCAGCTCTTCCAAGTTTCCAGACTGACTAACAATTTCAGCATATTCCTTTTGATTTTCCAGCCTAGGTATGATAGTCACTTCTTGCTCTTTTTACCTATGTTTACTTGATGTTTGCTTTTTGCATTTTGAGCCTCCAATAACTGTTTAATCAATCACATGTTAAGTGGGATTTGACTTTTGAGATTTCTGAGATTTGACAAATTCTGAGATTAGACAAGGACTTGTTCTGCTTTGTGTTTTCCAGCCAATTACTTATTTACTTTATAGCCAATGCTTGGCTAAAAAGAATGATCATATGTGCTCTTTCCATTAGATTCTTTAGTTGTCTCCTATGCAAAAGAGCAAAAGGCTAACCCAGGAGACTTCACCCACTCCATGATTTTCTAGGATATCTGTGACTGTGTGGAGAAGGAAATTGAGCCATTTCTGCAGAAGAACACATTTCAACAAGTCAGTTCTATGTGGCTTATTAAATAAAAGTGGGCAAGTAGAGACATCCCTGTTCCCATCCTGGGCCTGGGTGATCCAGTGAGTACTGTACACTTACTTGACCTCCAAGGACCATGCCATTTGCCTTAAGATAGAAGGACAAACCAAATTGTGGACCCTGTTTTGGTGGTAAGTGAAAGCATATTCCATTTTGACTTGTGAGATTTGACAGATTCTGAGAATAGACAGGACTTGCTCTTAGTGCTTCATCTGCAGGTCGAAAATATTCACATCCTGAATTTAAATCAGTATTTGGTCATATTTCTTTAAGAAAGTCCCCTTTAACACCAAAGAGTTAACTGAGAAATATTCTTTTATGTTAGCACACAGATTTCTCTCAAGAGTTGCTTACCACTGGAGGTAAGTGTAATGAGCACAGTAATCCCCCTCAGGATGCTTTTCAGGCAGCACCTGGACACAAAATCCATTTGCTGCCCACATCTTTCTCTTTCCCCCTTTCCTTTTGCTCCCTCATTCTACAAAGGAAAAAACAGAACTCCCATGGAAATGGAAAGACATGATCTTCCTATCTGGCAGACTGCGTCTCAGGTTTTAACCTGGTCTTCTCACCCCTGTTCTCATGGAGCCGACTGAGAGATCGTGAATCATCAGACTTCTCACTTGAGCTCAGAAGGTCTGAGTTATTCTCATCCCTAATACTACTGTCTATGTATCCTCAACTTCATCAGCTATAAATTGGAGCCATACACGACTCCCCATTTCCCACCACTGAGTGTTGAAATAGTCCCTACCTTAGTCTTGAATTTACAACAACAGATTAAAGTAACTATTCTCTTGTCTGAGATTAGGCCAGTCCTATATTTCTCACCTTGTCCAATGTTGGAATAATGCAATGGAGTGATCATTCTCTGAAATTCCTCCTCTGGAACCCTGTGCTCAGAGAAGCTCAGATGTAGTCCGAACTCAAGCACAGAGTAACTCAGATTTTCATCATTTCTTCCTCTGAACTTCCTTCCTCTATCTTCCCCGAGGTCTTGTTCAATGCTGATTTACTTGGGGCTTTCTTTTTGAGGGTTTCTCACACTGAACACCAAGTGGTATTTAATCTAAAGGTAAATTTGGTCATAGGAATTGATACTGATAAATAAATGAATTATTCATTCATTTATCACTGCTGTATAACACATATTTTTGGAATACAGCACTCAATGAGCAGCCCATAGAAAGTATAATCTTAGAGATGGATTTTAAAGCCAGGAGTGATGGTGCATGCTTGTAGCCCCAGAGACTTAGGAGGCTGAGGCAGGAGGATCACAAGTTCATGACTCAGCAACTGAGCAAGAACCTACTTCAAATTAAAAAGAAGGCAAGGACAGTTGTATGCTGATCTCACAAGAGAAACCATCTTAACACCATCTTGATTAAAGCTATCCTTTTTCTGATAAATAAGGCATGATTCCTTGCTCAAGGCTGCATGATAGGTGAGCATGCTGACAGTGACTGAGACAGAAAGGCTGGCTCATATTGTGGAAGCCCAGGAGGACAGGAATGAGATTGAGATATATATATATATATATTTTTTTTTTAATTAGAGGTTAAATATGTTAGGAAATAGGATTGCTGAAGGTAGTGTCTACATTCTTTTTTAAGTCAAGAGAGATTAGATTGAAAAGGAATACTGAGAGAGCAAAAGACTAAGGATGCTCTCCTGAGAATGCAAGAATGGTTGAGTCCAGAAGTCCAAAAAGTTAATGTATATCAGGTGAAATAATGTGGTTTGTGCATTTTTAAAGCACCCGAAAACACATGATATAGATACTAAATATATTGAATATATATTGCTTAGCACTCTATAAACTATTTAATGCTCCCAACTACCATATGAGGTGGATTTCATTATAGTTATACAGATGAGGAATTTGAGACTACTGTAAATACCTGAGAGTTTACATTGTTTGCCCAAACCCAAAACCTAAACCAAAACCGTGAGTAGTGGCAAACCCAGAACCTAGTGCTATTGTGGGGACAAGTAGCTGTGAGTAACATGGTATCTGCTTTGAATCTTTGGATCCAGATGTTCTTAAGATGTTAGAATTTGTTTTAGTACAATATTATAAAACACAGCTTTTATATTATATAACTCCTCCAATGAGGCCTAGGTCTGTATCCCATAGTTGAATATATTGGAGTCTATAAATAGGCAACTACTGTTTTGCTCTAGTCACTTTCAGCTCATGGCGCGGGGGCAGTGTACTTTATTTTAAGTGTTTCTGGAAGGACAGACATTCCTCCCATAAATACAAATTTTCCTTTTGTTTCTCTTTCCAGTTCTATGAACACTTCTTTTGCTCAACTTTCAACCTGAGCTCTTGAAGGTGGGTTGAGAGGATCCCAGAGCCTCCTTAGGAACTTGGTCTTCTTGAGGTTCTCTTATAGAGTCCTGACTGTGATGGCAGATAAAGGAGGGGGGAAAATTCTCAATACTCCAAAACGGTCTGTCAGCTGGAAGGTCAACCCAGTCATACCCAGGCTGGCACTAAAATCAAAGGCAAAGTGAAGGGAGGAAACTCTTCCCTTCAGTATCTGAGATAGAGCTGGTCAACATAGCCAAGTAATGGTCCCTGGGATGACCTGCACTTCTCTGAGTGCAGTGAAATAAAACTAATGTTTGAATTTCAGGAAATTGAGTTTAGTGCCCAGGCACCAGGGGAATATATCAAGTGTATTAGTGGGAGGTTAAAGAGAGGTGTGGAGTTGTTAAAATGGTATGAGGACCTTTGTGAGAACATCAAAAAAGGTAATCCAATAAAAACAAGCATATAAAAAAACTATGCAATATATCTATTTGTATAAAAGGCCAAGTCATGGATTTCAGTAGAAGAATCATAGAAGTCCTACACTTTGTTCCTCAGGTCCAGCAAGTTCTCCTTTCATGAACTCCCTCCAAGACATTTCTCATGAGGAGACATCTTTTGTTCTGGCCTTGAATACTTCCAAGGTCAAATGGAGCTCTTTGTACATTGAGGCATGATATGTCTGTCATTGGACAGTTTTACTTTGTAGAGATTACTCTCTTCAACAAGTCCATTTAGGTTTCCACATCACTTTCACCCACTGGTGTTAATTCTGGCTTCCAACTCCATAGATAAAGTCTGATTTCAATTTCACATGGTAATTGTTCAAACATTTAAAGATACTATAATAATATAGTCTTCTCAGGTAACTTCATAAAATATTCCTTTATCATCTTTTGAAAACTCTAGTTAAACCTATCTCTTAGAAAAAAGTTGACATCCAGAATTATTCTTAAAACCAAGTTATACCAGGACCAATGTAAAGCATATGGGCCTAATTTTTCCCTTGATTTAGCTTCCTGGCAAATCTTTGACACTCTAATTCAGTGTGATATGGCTTAACTTGCTCTTGGTGA